TGGAAAGGCACTTGATCAATGCTGTTTCCAACCGGAACTATAGTAACGCATTGGGACTATCATTGTCCGGGAATGAAATTCGTAGGTGCTTATGTGATTATGTGCTTACGTGGAATGAATTATTGTTGTCCAATGCATTAGGACGCGAGTGTTTAGTGTGTCTTATTTTCTCCCTTTTGAGGGACACTGAGGTCTGAGAGACCCACTTCGTGGTCGAACACTACTCCCGGTGCCTAACAGCCAGTTTTCGGGGCCTCGGGCTGCGCGTTTTGGCCCCCGAGCCTTCATTTTGCATCGGTTTGGGCTCATTTTTGGTGGAGACCTTATTTTCACTGTTAGAAAGCTTGTAGGAGGGTGGGAGGGCAGCAATTCTGCTGAAAAGCCAACTTCTTTTTGGTCAAAAGTGGTTCAGCATGAATCCGGGAAGGAGAAAAATCTACGCGGCTTCACCGAAACGGGCGTAACCCTTTGCACAAGAGGAATTAAGATATGAGGCCACCACCATTGGAAAGCTTACTTCCGGGGCTTCATTTTGCACTCAAGAATCTCCCAAGTCCAAGTCCGGGGGGGGGGGGAGATGTGGTTGGTTGAAGTCTGGTTGGACCGAATCTGCGCGGCTTCACGGAAAAGGGCATAACTTTTTCTACAGGAGGAATTTTAATGCAAGGTTTGCGCCATTGGAAAGCTAACTTCTAGGGCTTCATGATAGGGTGTGGCCGGCCACTTTTTTCCCTTTGACCTAGCCGGCCGGCCACTTTTTCTGGCCGGCCGGCCACTTACCTGGTGGATGACTTTTTTCCCCCTTTTAAACTGGCCGGCCATTTTTGCCCCTGTGAGTGCATTCCAGCCATGTATTTGTTTTTACACTTCACCCATGTCCAAGGGTTTGGCACTTTTGGAGGGAAACTTGACTCATTTTTCCCTCCATTTTCCCCCCTTTTTCCCCCTCCTTGGCTTATATATCAGCAGCTCCAGCTGCTAGTTTAGGGTTAGAAAATTTCCCTTCAAGCCCTTTGCATTACA